ACGTGTCATCAGTGCGGTTAACCCTGCCGACGGGATGGGGCTCAGGTGGGGGCTGCCCCCCCATCGCGCCCAGGGGGTCGCGCCCTCGGCGGGGGATTTGGGCTCCTTTTCCCCTGTGCGGAAGATCGTCTCTCTTTTAATTTCAGGTCTCAGCCTAGTTTCAGCCTCCTGTTTACATAAGGAATTAAAAATAGCGGAATTGTTCCGGGAAAGCCGTTAGCTGAGCATCCCCATCCTAAAAATCTCTGCCCAATTGTCTCCCATCTTCAGGGATTTGGGAGGGCTTTTGTCTTTTAGACATTGATCTAAATGGTTGGTTGTGTATCTTAAGAGCCCCTGTAGCTCCAAAAGGCACGGCTGGGTGCTAGTAAATTGAATAAAGCAGAAATGAATAGCGAATGGATAAAGCAGAAAATTAAATCGACCTAGAGGAATGATTGCACTCCCTTAAAAACAAATAGAAAGGGAAATTATAGACTGGAGATGTAAATAAATAAGTGAGCCTGGTGCCTCAAAACTTGTCTCGGCAACGTGGACGAACATCATAGGGACTGTTCAAACACTGTTGGAATACTATGTAAATCATTGGCTGCGTAACCATGTTAAACGTAATTGATGTTCAGTTGTTTTAAAGTGTCAGTAATAAAATATATATTATCTATATTTAAGTAATTGATTTAAGTAGCCGTCCAAGCGTTAGCGTAGTTTGTGGTTAGTTTTTAAATCGAGCTGAAGTTTACATCAGCTGAGAATAAAATACAGTATAATGCAGCTAAGGTGCATTTAAGCATCCTTATTTTTGGTAGCAGAGAAAGGATTTAAAAATTAATCTAAATATTATAAACATGTCTTGAATGCTGGTTGCGTGTACTTCATGTTACAAATAATACCATGCTGCAGTTTTGGAAAATTGCTTATGAGAATTATCAACAAATTGCATGGAAATTTTTGTCAGTGTTGTTTAATTGTGTCTACCGTTAGTCTGCGCAGGGCTGTTCTGGGGTTGTTGGTCCAGACTTGAAGCAAATTTTACCTTGATCCTAACCCCTAACTTTCTTTCACATTAAGGAATATCAAATTTCTTTGATCCTGTCCTGTTAAACAAAATGTTTTCCCTGTTTATGTATCAGGGTGGTAGAAAGTCATCGTTATTTTATGTGCCTTAGTAAAATGTCCTATTTCTTTTGCCCCCTGGAAGCAATCCTAAATGCTTTTCTTGGGGGCCAAAACTTACCTTGATGTCACACACGTGTGTGTCCACAGGAAGCATTTGGTAACAGGGATTTGTTAACTAATTTATTCCACTAAGAGTGAGTTGTTTTAGCTGTTGAATGTTTTTAGTTCAAGGCTAAGTCTCCATCATTGTCCGTGAAAGGTCAGCTGTGTGATGCCAGCTGCTTGGGGCTTTTTTGGAATGTCAGTCCTTAAAGCAAACTGCTATCTGGAAAACCAAAGACCAATGCGTATCCTAGTTGTTGATTAGTAATTTTAGGCCTTAAATACCTTTTGCTTTTTCTTTTTAACTGCAGTTACAAAAAAAACCCGGTAGAATTACCATCATTGCAGACAAGTCAAACCTCTTTTTACTGTTCAGCATTTTACACAAAAGTCTCATCACTGAGAATTCATCAGTCAGATGGTCAGCTTTTGAAGCACTTCTGCAGGTTAACAGGAAAGCTGAAAGCTTTTCTTCCCCCCCCCCCCCCTTTTTTTTTCCCTTTTCGTTTTTCTCAGTATCATTTTTGAAATGTGTAGCCAGGCACTGCAGGAAGTCAGGGGAAATGAGTCCTCAAAGAAAGTCAATAGTGGATCTGTGCTGGGATTGCTAAGAGAGGTAGCAATAGCAGGGAGGATATTTATTCCTTGTGAACTGGATAGTGAGTGCTGATTGACTTCACAGGGGGGGGAAAAAAAAAACAAACCCAAACAACAAAAAAAAACACCCCAAAAAACAAACCAACAAAAACAGTGAGTAGGCACTGGAGAACAGTAGCTCTCGGGGGACTTGGGTAGGTGTTGAGCCAAAACCCTGAAGATGAAAGGCTGCTACCTGTTAGTGGTCCCCTGAGGAGCTCAATACTTTCTTTTTTTATTCTTGCCTTTTGCACCCGCTGTGTGCAGGCCAGATTCCTTTCCAGCCCGTGGCGTGTTTTGCTGGTGCCTGAGAATCTGCCTCTGCCTGTCTGCAGCCCCATCGATCAGAAGTGGTCAGGCCAAGGAGCTGCGAGCTCTCTCCAGCGGCCAAGAATAGTTCCCTTCCTGGGAGGTCTGCGCTCTCCCAGGTGAACCGGCATCTGCTTGTGTCCGCTAATCCGCAAGGGCAACAGCAGCAAGGCAGATCCCAGCTTCAAGAATTTCCCCATGAAATCTGCTTTGATACCTGGCTTCCTAATGTGCTCGACCATCTCCTTAGTTGCCTACTCTTGTCTGAGAATAACGCGTATACACTAGCTTTTCTTACCTTTTTTTTTTCTGCTGGAATTGAATATTGAAATTGGATTTTCATTGTGTCTCAGCAAATGTTTTCTAATCTTTAAAAATCTGACTTGTACAACGTTTGGTTCATCTGGGAGAAGATACTGTGTATGAAAATTAAATTATCATCAGCAGTCTGACAAGTTGATTAAATTGTTATAGGTAAAAGAGTGAAATAGATCACAGTGAAATTGTGATTTAAATGTAAAAATCAAATACTGAAATTAGATAATCTCCAGTACAGATAAATACAAAAGGGAAAAGCGATAGCATCTTTGGGGTGTGTACAGCTCCTAATGCGTTTGAACTTTGGGCAGTGCTGAAATTCAGACTCTAGTAATGATGCGATGTAAGATTTTTATGAGAAGTCTCCTTGAACTTTGATTTGACATGCCAGACCTGTAGAGTTCATATTTTGCCATCTACTTTTCCGAGGAGGGAAGAAAACTAGTTGTAAACTCTTTTACTTCATAATATCTTTTGTTATTAGAATATCATATTGCAAGGCATTGCACTGTTATACATTATTAGCGGGCAGGAAATTGAGAATACAGAAGTAAACTTCTAAGTATTGTATATCTTGCTGATATTTGTGTGTATTTTGGTTAAGGCTGTACGTCTTGCCTACCAAGACTCTCGCTCCTCAAGAGAAATCACTGAGTCCTCTGCAGTGGTGCAGGCGTGTTCTGGATCATCCAAGTCCTGAGATCGAGGCTGCAAAACGTTCCCTATGCTTTAGATTGGAACAAGGTAATCTTATTCTTCAAATTTCTTTGCTAGTAAAGTTGGCATTTTTGGTCTGGCATTTCACTCGTGTTTTGTGTTTTTCACAATTTAGCAAGCTTTACAAATGGCAGACAGGCGTTTTTTTCCGATGTATGCAAGTCTTCCTCCACTACATAAATGCTAACAGTTGTTTGAATTTTTTGTTTCTGATCATGAATTTTTAAAGTGTTCTCCTCCTTCGTTATCCTTTTCTTCCCCTGCATAACTCGTGATTTTTAAACTTGGCAGTTTTCATCCATTGCTTAAAATAGTGGACCTCTTGGCAAGAAAACTTTGATGCTAATTTTACTATTGGTATCTCCATTGAGATTTGAAAAACAGTGCTTTTGGGTTTTTGTAAAGCCAAAATTATCATGGCACTATAAATTTTTAAAGGCATATTTGTCCACTTCTAATGTGGTATCGGGACTTTGTTAGGTATCGGACAGACCAAGAAGAGCTGTACCTTGACTGCTAGCACTGCTTTGTTGGGCTCTCAGTAGCCTCAGGTACTGGGATCAATCTGACGGCTGTTCGGTGCCAGCAAACTTGCAGAGTTATATCTGGGTGTGCTGAATTTTATTCTAAATAAATACCAGCCACCATTATTTTTACTTTTTTACCATCTAGGGTCCCATTAAGATTGTAGTAAGTGTTATTGAAGAGAGTGGTTAAGGTAGGAAATATTATCCTAAGATTTATAACTCACTAGGAAAGAAGATGCAAATGAACAGTATAGAAAGACAACAGGAGAAGGAAATAAAGCTAATGACAATATGAGCATATGGTTGTATAAGCTAGCTACAACTGTCATTAAGAGAGATTGAGCATGTACCTATGTGCTTTGGAGGATATGGGTAGTTGTGGATTAGTCTTATCCAAAATCAGGCATTTAACTGAATCAGTCTCTGAAGGCATCTGTCTCTTTGCACTGACTGTAAAAAATCTCGCAAGGTTATTGCCCTAGCAATATGCAGTTGAGCTCATTTGCCTAAAGCTAGGTGGACTAAACTGTGGTTTCTGTGTTGGTAATCATCATCCCACCTGGCTTTAGGGTGGAATTTGGCTCATGATTTGGACACCTGAGTTTAGGTGTCTGTAGTGTGAGCTGGGTCTCTGCTTGGCAGTCAATGGGAGTTTTGTCCATAGAGTCAAAGGAATCGGGGGAGCTGCTCAGGTGAGGAGGTGTAGGTGTTGGCCTTAGGATGAAGTCAATAGCTCTCTCGAGTCCACTGACAGTAATGGGTGTTCAGCATTCAGCTCCCATCTGATCACCTGAAGGTACGTCTGTGTGATGTAGGGTGTCCCAGTCTGGCCCTGAATCCCAGTGTAGGGGCTGCATTGAGGTTGGCCCACATAGTGCTGAGATGTCCTCAGTTACCCTGGCTGACCTCTAGCATCCACTCGAGGCGGATACAGACCTTCCATAGGTCCTCTGCCCTCTCTGCCATGCCTTTGATGGTATCTTGGCCTCCCAAGGGCCTCTCAGATGGGCCAGCGCACCTAGGTATGGGCAACTGAATCAGGTCCATAATGGGAATGTAGAAACAAGCCAGAGGAATGCATGCCCTATTTTTCCCTTACAAGGTATATTTAAATTTAATAAAGACATTAGAAAGGCAAATTTATTGTTTCAAATTTAAATCACTCTGTGGTTATCAGTTCAGTCTCTCTCTGTGCAGAAAGTCACAGCAAGTGACATCTGTCACGCAGAGTTATGTTGACAATGAGTTGCTTTGATCCATATGTTCTACTCATGGTGATGGGTTCATGCATTTCCTGGGCTCTGTAGAAAGTTTCTGAGAAATTATATGCCACGTATAAAACCCATTATGGGAGAGCTGTATGTTCAAGGACAGCATGGACTTACGTTTCTACTGCAGCAATTCTATGCTAAAATTGTTTTAATTAATAATTCGGTTAGACTTGATAAACTCTCGTATTTCTAAAGATTTTCTTTTTATCACCTCTACCTTTACAAATAATAAGCAAATGTCGGATTTCTTACCCTAACTTTGTAGCAGTTGGTTTCACAGTATTTATTTCTTCTTCAGTTTTGAAACCAGGTGTGAGATTGTTTTAAGAATCTAATAATTCTGTTAAAGTACAACAAACTTTCTGTAATCTGACTTTCCTGCATTTTGTTTTGCAGTCCATTCTGTCGGTAAGTATATGTGTATAAATATGTATACGTAATTTTATCTTAATTTTAGAAGTGACTCACTAAGAATGGCATTCTTCTTTTCTGGTACTAAAGTTTCAAACTTTGTACTTGTAAGTTGAACAGCATTTTCACCCTTTAGCCATATTCCTTGAAAGAGCATTTTAGAGGGATTTTGAAATCTAGTTGTGCCTTTTCTGTTCGGCAGTAAGTCAATGGCAACACCAATGTACTTGAGAATTATTAAACGTGTAGTCAAAAAACATTTATAATGTACCAATTTGTGATTTCTGAAATGGCTTATAGGTAGAATTCGCTTAGTAATTTTGTCTATGGTGCATTAGCCAAAAATTAATCCAGTTTAGATTGTCATAGCTCATTAGGTACTATAGGACGCATAGAAATAAAAAGCAGTAAAAATTGATTTTTGTCTGCAAAGTCAGCATATCTAAATGAAGGCACACAGAGTGAAGAGCTGTGAGCCAAAAGAAGTAAAATTTTGTCAGGCTGGTTTTCTGGCTTTTAACTAATTCCTGCTCTCTTCTATGATTTTTAAATCTGTGCTTATTTATTCCCGCTCATGTAATTTTTCTTATTGCATTATGTTCTTATTTTTATAAAAGTATTCATTTGCTGTCTGAAATATCCCAGCATTAGGATAGCTCATAAGAAGGCTAGGGGTCTTGTGAGAGACCAATTCTCATCCAATTCAGCCTTCCAGACAGAAAACTCCTCTTTCTTGGAGAATATGAAGTATTGGCTAGATTCAGAGTTTGGCTTAGATGAGTTCTTACTCTGAAATGCTGCTTCAGATGCTTAAAAAGAGTAGGCAACAGAAGTCTGTAGGTTTTGCAATTGGCTGCAGTAATTTACAGTCTTAAGGTTAAACTCTGCCTCGTTTCTTAATGAGTAATGTGCTTCAGGATGAATGCTGTTATGTCACCTGTGGGTGATAAGGTATGTTGTGAAACAGATCCATTGTAGTTTCTCTCCAGTTGCTTATGATTTCACAAAACCCAAGAATCTCATCAGTGAAATTTTAGCTTTTATTGCGCTACATCCCTATGTCACATGTCAGTTAAGTTTGATGTCCAAACATATAATGTATTCAGAAGAAAAACGTGGGGGAGATTTAATTTGATGCTACTATATTCTTTTTACCTGTGGGGGAAAAAAAATTCTTACAGCTGGTAGGGCCACAGGCAAAAGGTGTTAACCTGGATGTGAAACTTATTGCTTACACAGAAAGAGGCCGGGTTCTGTCCCATTCTCCTAATTTGCTTTTCCTTCCCAAGGGTTCATAGTGAAGTCATTTAGTTTGGAGTCTTTACAATATAAAATACCTTTAATCAGCTAAGAATTGCTGTCACAGGGAACTTTTACGCTGTAGTCTGTTAACAGTAAAAGCAAACAAAATACAGTAAATGCACAAAAGCGTTTATTTTGTATGCTTGAGCTGGATCCAGTGCTGCACCCAGTGCAGGGTGGGATATTTTTATTATTATTCTAAAATAGGTTTAAGTTTATTTGCTGTCCAGTGATGCATCAGAGATGTATGTTCTAACACTCAGGACTGGATTAATATGATTTAATACAGCTTTCTCATCCTTATTTTTCATGTGTATGGAGATTAAAGTTTTATGTAAAATGCTTTTGGGGTAGCAAATGATAACGTGCTGAAGCTTGTAGATGATTGTTGTTTCCATCATAAATAATAACACAGCTAAAGCTCTAGAAGGAATGAAAGAAGTGGCACGACTGATTAGGTTTCTTTCTGTATATGTTTCTGATAATAAAAGGTGATGAGCAACAGTAACTCCAGTCAGCGTCTGAGCATCTTGCAGGGAATGTGACACCTTGGAGGACAGGGTGCATAGCAGTCTTCTGCTGCAGCACAGGCTTAGTGCTCACAGCGCATATATGCATGCACAGGAGTTATTTCCTATTAGATTTCATTTATTTGACGTAACCTGTTCTAACAGCTACATAATTCCAAGCAGCTCTTAGAAGTTTTGCAAATGCTGATATCACTGGATTTTCTAACACAGTGGCTGAGGATGATTTGTATATTTCAACTGAGAAAAACTCAGTTTTGGTATTCTCCTTAGAAGCGTGTTCTTGCATTTCAAACAGAAAATTTCTCTCTAGCACGGGAACGTTTCTACTCTGCAAGTACACTTCAGGATAGAAGTGTTTGGTTGAAAACCCTTATGGCAACAAATGCATAGAAGATTAGATGCTTCACTTTTTATTCATTGTACAGAGATCCCTTGCCTTTTTAATATGGCTCTTAGATATGACTTCTATTTTTTATTAAGTTATAATATGCATACTATTTAAGAATTTCATTTCATATTTGTACAGATCATAATTAAATATTTTCTTAGAATTGATTTCTGGTTGTCATGACACATACAAGAAGATGTTGAGTTCTGAAGTCTGTGTAAAGGTTGGTAGAGAGGTGGTGTTGGATCTTACCTCAGTTGAGAAGATACCCATCCCATTTTAGAATGTAAGTGTTCTATTAATCCACGGTAGCTGCTGAGCTGGGATTATCATGAGTGGTTAAACAGCTAGAAACACTGCCAAATTTTATGTGAGGATTTCAGTAGGCTTATTTAAAATAAGAATAATATAGGCTCAAAGTCTGTAATGCAGCATATGTCTAAAAGAAATAGTAGTAGTGTCAACGCTGGCGGTTAGGCTAAAAATACGGGCACAATTAGTGTTATCCAGCAGAGTACTAATCAATTGGTTTTGTTTCCAAAGTACACAACTACTTTCCTGGATAGAAATTAAAAAGAAGCCTAGGTTTTATTAATGG